TAATGGTACTGTCCTAGAAAATCCTGTTTTTGCAGGAACAACCAGCTCTTATTTGTGTACAACCTTCATGCAGTAATATGCATAAAATTATTTTGATCAAGAAACATAATAGAGTCATGTTTTTTTAATTGTGGCACCATGGTGCTGATGTGTTTTAATTTGTCTCGGGGGAAAGCAAAGCAAACAGAGGGTGGTTGACACTTCGATGGGATAAAACAGAATTACTGTTGGGAGCTGCCAGTCAGATGCTTCTCATATTTTTCTCGAAGTGTCAACAAAAAAGAAGGTGACTGAGGAGATGACATTTATTTTATGTGACGATACAAAATGCTTTATATGTTTGTATTTATAGAATAATGGAATCGTATCCTTTTAATCTGTGAGCATATACTGTGCCTCTTTTTAAAGGTCATAATTGTCAGAAATTATTTTGTCTGTATAAAGTATTAAGTCTATTTTATAGATCAACACCTTCCTAAAATAATTGCCCAAGTCTTTTTTTTCAAGTTTTTCACAAGAAACAGCTCAGCTTCAGTCACATTCAATGCATAGGCCATTATCTTGGGTAGAATCAAATGATTTGATCACCTGGATATACAGGCAGCTTTATCACAGGTGGTCAACATCACGAGGAGATTATTTATGCAAAAAAAGGCAATTTTGCAGAAAAATGAGTTAGGCAATCGTTTTAGGAAGGTGACACTATAATAGGTTCCAAATTACCTTTAATCCAATCCCATTTATTTATAAAGCTATTTAAAACTCATCCAAAGGAACAAACTGTTGTCCAATAGACTAAAGTAAAAACATTAAATTAACTTCCTAAGATGTAGTGAAAGCCAGAAAATAAAAGTGGGTTTTAAGTGAAGATATAAAAGCAGCTAATTAGGAAGTCTGTCTAATGCTCAAAGGAAAGGCATTCCATAACTTAGGATTCAATGTCTAAACCAACCCACTGCCCTAAATGGGAAATTTAAATTTTATGATCAACTGTGTCAAATGCAACTAATAAATCTAAAAGCACAAGTATAACACAATCACCAGAATCAATAGTTAAAAATGCATTGAACATTCTTAAAAGGGCAGAGTCTGTGCTTTTAAAACCAGTCTGAAAAAACCCAAGAAGTTTGTGTAGTTTCAAGACGTACATCAGTTGACTGCAGATTATTTTCTCAAGAACTTTTAAAGGAGACATATCAGGCTAAATGCACTTTTTTGCATTTGTAAACTATTTTTTGTGCAATTATAGTGTCTAGGAGTGTAGAAAACTTTAACTTATTCTGTCCAGTTACTGCAAAGATATTTTTATATTTTTTATGGGTCAAATTTTTCAGTTTGTCCAAAATCTGCTGTTGCTTATTTCATTTCATTGTTTATTTCGTCACACTTTTTTCTTCGGAACTAACATTTATGATGATGTATTTCCGGCACACTGGATTTAATAATCTGCCATTTTTTTCCTCGCTGTGTGATTTTGTAGTTCATAGCGTCATGCCGAATTTGCAAGTTCAAAAGTCAAAATGTTTGGTTCTGGGGTGTGTAACATTATTATCTACATAGACTACCAGCGTCAGAGCTTCTTCAAAGTGCCTGGTTAAGTTTTATTTTTCAAGGAAATGGACCCACAACAGGGCAGAAAGTGCTTGTGGACAACACAGGATGAATGTTACAACAACAAGGGTGAGTTATGAACTGTAAATGGGTTTTAACTGTCTAATTTAGCTGTTTCTACCCTCTGTGTCGGAATTTGAGGAGAGAAAGAACAGCTGTGTTTAAGTTTCTTTACGGAACGGGTGCTCAGCACCATGTTTTACTTTCACTTTTGCCCCGCACTGTAATCAACATGTCCGTGTTGTTTTTCTTTTTAAAAATGCTGGAGCATTTCAAACTGTGATCTAAAGTTAACGTCAGCTGTTTTAAACACATTTTTTGCCTGGTGTTAAAAACGGGAGCAGCAGAATGAGGCAGAGAAGCTGTGAGCGCTGTGTGTGAAGTCCCCATAAGGATAGCAAGATGGATGTGTGTCTCTCCTTTTTTTCTCTGTGTTGCTGTTTTTGCATCAAAAAAGCTGGGAACATAGTCATTTTATGTAATAAAATATATTAATCTTATTAATATACAAATAAAAACAGAATGTTTAGCACTAGATAAAATAAGTAATGAATTTATTTATTTTTATTCTTTTTGAGAAAGGACTGAAAAAAGAAATTCCGTGTGGCAGCACTTTATACAGCCTCTTCAGACAAGGCTTGGTTAATAAATGTTTTTTTAGTTTGTTTTCTTTTAAATTAAGACTTGTGTAACATTTGGTATCATTCTTATTTTTATCATGTTAATGGAGGGTGGAAGAAAAAGTATCAGCTTCAAGAAACGGCTAAAAACATCGGCTGCAGTGTTGTTTTAGTCACTCTGTATTTATGGTTGTTTTTTTTTTCGTTGTTCAAAATACTGTGTGTTAGATGAGTTTTAATGGTGCAACTTCAAACTAACATGTAATATTCTTTTATGCTATTTTAACCAGACTGTACCTGGCTGCAATGCATTTCAATGAAAATGCACGTCTGCTGGCAACTATCTCATCTGGAGAGCCCAAGTAGATTACTCTTTCCCAAGTTCAAGAAGGGAGAAGGCACAGCAAATCCTATAGAACTCCTGAAACCCTAAGTAAGTCTTACCACATTAGTCACTTTTAGTATGCCAACTTGATTTCAATAAATCAAAATCATCCATACTTTCATTATATCTCCCTTATTCAAAGTYGTGTCACAAGGGCATGTGATGTGTGAAAGTGTTGAATGAGAAACTTTTCCTCACAATGTTAAACAAAAATTATAAAATAAGTGACACTTTACTGTTTCTACTATGCAAAGACTGTGTAAATTTTAATGTTGTTGATGTTTTCCAGACTTCGCTGTGGATTCATCTCCAGTTGTCCCAGACAAGGCCAGCATCTCCACACCACCTCCTGATAAGCGCATCTTCACTACACGTCCTGATGCCACATCTTCAAGCCACCCTCTGCACCACATCTGAACCCAGTCCACACCCAGTGGGAGGACCCTTCACAACAGGATCACACATACATCTTGCAGAAAGGACGTGCAGGACACGATGACTC